TTCATGGAGTGGAGGGAGGGGATGTGGGGTCTCTCACGCTGGTGGCGGACTTACACCAGGTGGACCGATAGGCAAGCCGCCACAAAGGAGGACCGCGACAGGGCCCGCGCGTCGGTGGTGATCCGCGCCGAATCCAGGATGCCCCGGAGTGGAGCTACCCACAACCTCTTCGCCGATAGTCTTGTCTTGTCCGACGAAGCCCCGCGTACGACGGGGTCACGCAGGGGCACGGAGGCAAACAACGCCATGGTGATAGACCCCAGCAGCGGGAAACGGGTCAAGTCAGCAAGCCTGAAAAGTGAAGATCATAGCCAGTGCCGCCCATCGTCGCCACTGCTTCTTGTGTTTTCGTGGGTCGAACTTGTTGTATCATCGCCAGACATGTTTGTTTGGGTCATTTTGTCCGTTCATCAAGTGCTTGTTGTTGTTGCTGTTTGTTGTTTGGCCATGGCAGAAAGGGCAATGTCTGATTTCCCTTTCGCCCCATCCTCACATCTTGTATCCTCGGCATGAAGGCCCCTTTTTTAATCGAATAGCATGCATGGTTTCACTGAAAGTTGGCTTGTTCGCGTCAATAACCGCGCGATCATACAGGCAAGGAGAGCCACCGCAAGAGGAAGGCGGAAGACCCCTTTCGGTACTCCGAGGACCAGGCGGCGGCAGGTGAGTTCATCATGAGTTGTCGAGTCTCTAGCCGCCATTGCTCTTGATTGCCATTGCTTTATGTATTCTGGTAATATTGTTGTGTAACGGGAGATGAACGTGGGGGCGACCTGGTTTGTCGGTTGCTCCGACACTACGCCTTCCGGCTGGCTTCGTTCCTCTCTTTGGGGTTTCTCGTGGGTCGCTCATGTTATGGGGCAGAGAAATACTCATTTCAAGAGACAACATCTATCGATTCTACCCTATGGAGGGCAACGGTACTTCTAGCTCAGCTAGGGATGGATAGACCCACCGTTACTTGTAGCTTCTCGAACTAGTCGACTCACTGCTTGCTCGCGCTATGCCAAGTTCCAAACAATCTTCCGATTGGGGGTAGGCCGTGAGATTCGGGCAATCGTCCGTGATCTCTTCGAGTTCTCTCCGAGTTTTCTCAATCTCGTTGCATGAGTCTCATCATCCGACCTAGAGCCCAAAAAAGGTACAGTACCTCCTTAGAGGTTATACCTTATTCTGTAGCTCCACTGAACGATTGTCGTTCAGTGCCCCCTCGAGTCCTCAGCTGATCTAGATACGAGGTGATACAGATATTCCACAACACCCCGTATCCAGACCCCTGAGGTCCGTCAACGGGATTAATTTACAGTCAATAGGCACAACTCCATAGACACCCGTGAGCTCCCGATCAGCCGCCGTGACAGTTGTCACTGTTGCTGTTGTTGTTTGTTGTTGTTGCCTGGCGATTGACGAGTCATTTTCCACCCTCTCTTTCATTATGTGCCCCGCACCCCATGCACTCACTGCATCCCGCTCCCTGCTCCATTGAATATAGGAATATCGTTGCGTGCAATGGACCCTGTGAAGGAAGTTTCTCGCGGGGAATAACGCCGCCAAAGCGTGCTACTTGACTTTTGGAATGAAAATTTGACAGTCGATCGAACAGAACGCGATGCCTTAGGAGCGAGCAACTGGTGTATGGTTGGATTGAGCCTATTCCCCCCGACCGTCGTGTTCGTTGCAGGCGTTTCCGTTTGTGTTGTTGTATTGCGTGAAAGTGTTCTTCCTGAAACTAACCCTTTCCCCTCCCCGTGTATTTGGTGCTATTGCATCCCGGCTTTCACTCGTCGTCCCACGGATCTCGGGCACTCCAGGGAGTATCGGAGGTAAGACGATTCGGTACTTGTTACATCCTTTGCAACCGAACAGAACGCGATTCCCTCAGAGCGAGCAACTGGTGCATGGTTGGATTGAGCCTATTTACCCCGCCCGTCGTGTTGGTTGCAGGCGTTTCTGTTTGTGTTGTTGTTGTTGTTTCATTCTCTTCACCCGTTCCATCCGACCCGCCCCCGCCTTTCATGATATGATAGTTCACCCGATGCAACCAACTCATGACCGCTCCCTGCTCAGTAGGATGTGGTGATACGGTTGCGTGTGTGTGACCCGAATGAATTGTTCTTCACTCTTGATGTTCGGTGCTACAGCCCTGGTTACATCCACAATGTACCGCTCCATCTGGCGCTATGGTGTAGTCTAGTGGTCGTCGCCTGAGGCTTGCCGTATTTCGTCTTGTGAAAAAAACGCTCAAACTCGGCCACTTGCCTCCTCTGAATGAATGTTCCAATCAATCGAATTTTTCAGGGGCGGTACAATCGGGAAAACAAATGAAACCCAACAGCAACCCGCGAGGCCCCGGTGGCGCCGGTGACAAGGAGTTCGACTACGGCCCCTACCGTCACTCCATTGGCCTCCACTTCCGTGATCAGAAGAACAAAGGCAAGCATATCAGGTCGGACAACCCGTCGGAGTTCTTCGAGTGGAGCATCCCTAGCGTGAAGAACGGGGAGCGGACGTTGGGGACCCAGCCGTTCGACAGTCAAGGCGACAACGCGAGAGCACCCTACCCGTGCGGGGAGAATGGTGTCAGGATCGAGACGGTGGCCAAAGCAGTGAGAGGCAACCTTTACCTGATGCGGATGGCCAGGGAGCACGCCAAGGCGCAGGGGTAGGCCGGTACTCAATACAAGGGCGAACGGGCGTCTTACCAAATATAAGATCCATGCATGCATGTCGGCTGTTAGTGCCGGGAGGCCACATGCACGGGGTCTTCAGGGATAGAAGCCTCAAAATGCTTTTGCTATGGTTGTGAGAATCATCCTTTTTTTTTGTGCATATATCCTTGCGTTGACATGTGCGTAGTTTTTGTGCAACACAACGCCCCGATCAAAGTAGAGAAAAGAAACATGTTTCTCCCGGGGTGGTATTCTCAGTCAATGGGACGTGTTTGAACATTTTGTTTCATACACAAGATATCGGTGGTGGCGGTGTGAAAATTTCGTGTGTGTGTGTGAGAAAACTATGTTTGTGCAACACAAAGCCCCGATCAAAGTAGAGAAAAGAAAGGTGTTTCTCCCGGGGTGGTAGTCTCAGTCAATAGGACGTGTGTGAACGTTTTGTTTCATACACAAGATATCGGTGAACATTGCGTGAAAACTGTGTGAAAACTGGGAATTCGGTGAACATTGCGTGAAAACCATGTGAAAAATGAAATTTTGGCGAACATTGCGTGAAATTTTAGTGTGTGTGTGCGCGCACAACACAAATCCAACGAGTCACAGTCTTGGCGCAGTCACTGAGAAAGGAAGGGNAAAAGAAAGGTGTTTCTCCCGGGGTGGTAGTCTCAGTCAATAGGACGTGTGTGAACGTTTTGTTTCATACACAAGATATCGGTGAACATTGCGTGAAAACTGTGTGAAAACTGGGAATTCGGTGAACATTGCGTGAAAACCATGTGAAAAATGAAATTTTGGCGAACATTGCGTGAAATTTTAGTGTGTGTGTGCGCGCACAACACAAATCCAACGAGTCACAGTCTTGGCGCAGTCACTGAGAAAGGAAGGGCATTGACGACGAAGATGTTAGTGGATTGAAGTCATACCGTCCACTGCATGAAATGATCGTCGTTGATCCGTTCTACTTTGACAACCGAGCACTTACGGTTTAAGGCCGGTGGACTCGGACCACCACGTGCAATTTTCTGCTATTCACCCAAATCAAACTCGTGCCCTGTGAATATGCTGTGACTAGTCACGACGTGGAGCGTCTTCAAATCGCTGAAAATACGGAATCCGACTTCTTGAGGAAGCAGTTTTCTAGCGTACAAACTTTCTGATTTACTAAATCGATGGGCTTGTTGATATCGACGCTCTCGTACGGAAGGTAAATATACTTCCGCCGTACGTCTCTCAGCTGGAACTCACACCGGAAGAAAAAAGTATTCCAAGGAAACGACGTCGAGAAGCCTTGGCAGCGAAGTGTGAAAAGAGCATCACAGTGAACGCAAGCGACCTTGTCGATCTCATGGGAGCAATTATCACATACCCCCGAGCAAATTACTTTGAATTGGCGTGCGCGTTATCATTTGTTCCTGGGAGGGGGCTGCCTGAACTTGTTGGTAGTGCTGTCCAATTTTCGCCCAGTAGTCACGGCAATCACGAGGTAGATATCAAGGTTGGTGGAGGAACCTACCGGATANAGTGAACGCAAGCGACCTTGTCGATCTCATGGGAGCAATTATCACATACCTCCGAGCAAATCACTTTGAATTGGCGTACGCGTTATCATTTGTTTCTGGGAGGGGGCTACCTGAGCTTGTTCGTAGTGTTGTCCAATATTCGCCCAGTAGTCACGGCAATCACGAGGTAGATATCAAGGTTGGTGGAGGAACCTACCGGATACCATTATTATGCGAATACGAACACTTTATAGGGGGTGTCAATCGGTTGCGCGGAATGAAAGATACATCCCGCCTAACGCCCGCCGAGGTAAACCTCCTTGTGGGAATGAATGGTATTGCGCCCTGCCCATTTGCCGAATAAATCCAACTTGAAAAACGAAATGATACGGCTGTCGGCTATATTGAGCTGTTTCAAGCTGTATTTCTTCCTTGAATCACTTGAGGTTTTCTTGGCCAGCGACGACGCCTTCCTCTGTAGGACTTTGAGTATGCGCTTAAGGTCCTTCCTGATGGCGCCATCGTTTTGGCCGGGACCGTATACTTGCATCCATTCTCGCCTGACTCGCCGGACATTTTTGTTGAGAGAGCCTGGATGCAGAGTCCTCAAGACCTCAAGAACATGGACCGGGTCTTTATTATCCTCCAACCAACGAGCACACTGCAGAATGAGATCGTTCATGATTGAATTATCGGTATTCACACAATACATATTATTTCCTCTGTTTCTTGGTAGAAAAGCTACCGGTCANGAATTATCTGTATACACACAATACATATTATTTCCTGAGTTTCTTGGAATAAAAGCTACCGGTCGACCACGGTACAATCAACTCGTCTTCCTCTTTTTCGACTTCCCTCTCCCTAGGCTTCCTCTGGCTCTGTTGCACTTTAAGCATTTCACATCTACATTGTCGATCGTGTGCGGCAAAGCGCAGTCAAGACGATCGAGAGTCGGTTGGCGTTCACTATAGACGGCCCAGACCAAGTCATGGTTGCACAAGTTGCACCTCCCCCCGTAGGAGCGGTGGAGTTCTTGGACGAGAGCTTCTCTGTGCTGTCCCCCCTCATCAGATCCGAGACGCTCGGCCGCAACGTCGGCGTAGATATAACTTGAAACCTTCCTAGAAACCCACGATGCCCTCTCTCGGTCTGACATGTCGCTCTTGCTTCGGTGAATATCGTCGATGACCCTGACGTTTGACGGTCCGGTCGCTCGACTTATGGCCGTGTATATCCAGTACACATCGGCGTAAGGGTGTCGAGCCTGGTGTATGAGCAGTCTCCCTTGTACCGTACGGCCCTGGACGGCGTGTACCGTGCACGCTCCCGAGGGGTCAAACAAGTTTTCCGCCTCCGCTCGACAGAGTGAAGTCTCCTGAAGGCTAGCAGCACCGTCGAATGCGCTCGCGACAACAACGGTATCTCCTGAGGACCGGATGATGTTGNTCCAGTACACATCGGCGTAAAGGTGTCGGGCCTGGTGTATGATCAGTCTCCCTTCTACCGTACGGCCCTGGACGGCGTGTACCGTGCACGCTCCCGAGGGGTCAAACAAGTTTTCCGCCTCCGCTCGACAGAGTGAAGTCTCCTGAAGGCTAGCAGCACCGTTCAATGCGCTCGCGACAACAACGGTATCTCCTGAGGACCGGATGATGTTGTGGTTGTGATTCTTGTGAACCCTGATTCTTGTGAACCCTGCCCAGGTTCCCGAGGTCCCGATATTGTGCACCAACAACTGTTTGATGCCCCAGCACGTCCCAGCCTCCAGACTCGTTGCACCCCAGCAAGCCTCGAAACGCATAGAAACGAGCACAGTCTCTAGTGTAAGCGAGATGAAAGTCTGAAGGGCTTGGGTCGTCGAGACAATCACCACCAAATCTCTCGATGGCTTGAGTCTGCGCCTCGTGACTGTCGTTTCCTGCGGCCAGAATGTGCAAGAGGCCGTCGTCCATCTCCACCTGTTCGTCGACAGTTTTATCCCGCTTGCGCGCGAAGACATGAAAGCATGCGGGGAAGGCTTTTCGACGATGACCTTTCTGTTGACGTTGTCCCTGCTAATCGACATGCCGCTGCTATCGTATTCTCACTCACGCAACCAACAACAACAGGGGATAGATTTAAAACTTGACCAGTCATCATCAATCACACACAGCGAACACAGCACCATCATCCACGGTCAGATTGAAACATGTTGATTCTTCTAGAAAAAATGTGAACCCGCCGTAGATGACACGTCATGTCGACCACGGATTTTCGGCCAATCTTAAAAAAATAAAAAATCTCCTTTCGAAAAAATTGACCGATCAGAAAACTGCGGGCACCTTTGCTCTCTCCTGCCGGTTTTTTTAGCCCAAGGTCAACTTCCATATTCCGGCCGATAGATCTCGATCGCGTAGAAGTCATGAAAAATCAAGCTTTGTGTGACCTTCCCCTTGTGTGACTCTGCTGGCGGATACGTCAGAAACGTACGACGAAAGGTGCGTAAATTGGCGGCAGGATAGATAGATGATGTTGGATGTACTCACAGCATTGACAGATTATTGCAACCGAGGAACGTTCCGAGAAGATGGAGCGGGGAACTTTTGGGGTTCCGCAGTTGTGGTATATTGGGGGAATGCTGGTACCATCTTTGCCACATATTGTTGTTTCCTGGGTAGACTATACGTGTCTGCAACGGTGTTGACCACGTGCACTTGGATAAATTTCATCTTCTTTTTCCCGGCTATCACGCTCTGGGCTATCACGCCCGTGTCCACACATATCCACCGGCTATCACGCTGCCAGGCTGTCACGTCTCTAGGCTATCACGCCATCACAACAGCTATCATAGCACCAGCTTCAACAGATCAGAGCCATCACGCTCCGGAACATCACAGATGCGGCGGGTTACCACATCCGCGGGCAGTTTACTGTATTTTATCGTTGCCGGCAAACTCGCCGCGCGGTTCTTTTATTTTTGCCGTCTACAACTGCGCCGGGCGCACCAAGCTACTCAACACGCTAGCGTAATAGATCAAGAGAGTTGCTGCTGTGTCTGCGCGAACAAGACGGCTGGAGGAGATGGACGAAGACCTCCGGGGGAACCAGGGACTAGTTCCTCTCCCCACGGGGAAGACAACGGGGGGAAAGGACGAGATTCGTTGAACCTCCCCGATGTGGACCAGGGAGGAACGAGAGCAGCCGCGGGTGGAGGGGAACAAGATCCAACTATCGCCCTTGCCGACCTCCTTCGCCGGGTTGCCACCTTCGCCTCCCAGACTCCGGGATATGGCGTCCGCTCAGGCACGTCTACTTCCCAACCCATAGAGTTGAAGCTGAGAGAGAGAGTCGAAGTACCAGAGTGGAATGATGCTTTCTTGAAGGATCGAGGTGTGACTGTCGCGTTCCGAATTTTCACGAGTTGTTTCTCAGGGTGGATGGATGCAGAAGGTCTTGAAGAGATCATGAAAGGAGAAGAGATTCCTGTGGGTTCGTTGCACGTCGATAAGGCTTGGTTGCGGCAGAGGTATGGCGATGAAAGTGTTCGAAAGGCCAGGAGAGTCTGGATATGCTTGATCACGAAAATCAACGTTCAACCTATACTAGACCAGATACTAGCTTCAGAGAGTCCACAAGCAGGGTGGATGGCGTTTCAGTCCTACTACGCTAGAAGTAGGACGCATGAGAGAGAAATCCTGGACGACACTTGGAACTGTCTAAGGCAGAAGCATGGAGAGACTCTTGTCGACTACTGGGGAAGGGCGAATACTGTGTGGATGCAATTACAGTCTTGTGGGGACAATCGAGAGGAGACGTTAATGTCGAGACACATTGCACGTGGCTTGCTCCCAATGTACGACGATGTCAAAGACCGTATTCTGTTCCACCCCATGCTTTCGAGAGGTACTCTGGAAGAGACGCTGAGGCTGGCCGAGCACGAGCAGAGGATCAAACGGAGGTCTGGAGCGGGGATCGAGGACACGAGGCATGCGCCCGTCGCTGCCGGTGTGGGCCGGGGCGGCGGCATGAGGATAGCAGCTGCTGCGGGAGCGGATGGCGGGCCATCTCATGAGCGGAGAAGTGCCTTCTTCTGTCAGGTTCACGGAGCGAACTCCTCCCACAACAACCCGGACTGCCATAAACTTCGCCAGGACTACTTGTTCCACTACAACGACTTCATGGCGTTCATTCGCGAGAGGGACAGCATGCGGGGACCAGGTTTTCCTCAGGCCCGGGGGCAAGACTCGGGGCGGTTGTCGGGCGGATCATATCGAGAGCAGCTGCACCAACTGGACCAAGGGGCAAGCTGGGGTCGGGTCCGCCCGTTCTGTCCCCCTTCTGCAGGGCCCGACGCTTACCAGCCGCGAGTCTTCAACGAGGCCTTTAGCACCCCTAATCTGCCGGCGACACCGCAACAGCAGCAGCAGCAGCAGCAGCAGTACATCAGCGCACCCCCAACGACCTCTGCCTCCTCGACGGCGACCCCCTCTCCACCTCCGGGCGACATTCCTCCAGCTAGTGGCGCCCCTCTTCGTCTCTTCCACACAAGTAGTGTGAAACCTCTAGGCGAGTCTGATTCTGTGACTGGAAATGAGATCGGAGTTGTTAGTGATGGGGAGGTGTCTGGTGTTCCCGTTGCTGGTATGTCTGTGCTTGATGTTCCTGTTGTTCCTGCAGTGAATCCTGCTATAACCTCTCAAGCTCCGGTATCCCACACTAGGATGTCAACACCCAAAGGTGGTGAGCAGTTGCAGGAAGATAAGGGGACGAGTGCGGGGATGTTTGATGCGAGGGAAGGAGTTGCGTTTGAGCATGATGTGGCTGTGTTGGGTCGTGCCGAACAAATGGATGTTGACGTTTTCCACCACCGCGCTGGCCACTTTCCCGAACCCATTTTGAGTATGACTGCCGAGCAACAAGGGAACACCCTTCCCAGGGAGTTGGAACCCGGGAACACTGCCGCTTCGCCGCCCTCTGCCAACGCTGCCACTTGGCCTGCCGTCGCCGCCGCCACGGCGGGGACCATCACCGCTTCGCCGCCCGCTGCTGCCGCTGTACCGTGGGGACCCGCCACTGCCGACGCTACGTCATCGTCGCCGTCGCACACCGCTGGTGGCGCACCATGGAATGCAGCCGCCGCCACCGACGCACCGTCGCCGCTGCCGCCAACCTCCGGGACCGCGTTACCCGCCACTGTCACCGCGGCCGCGCCGTCGCGGCTGCCGCCGACCTCCGGGGCCGCCGTGCCGCTTGTGCCTTCGCCAGGTGCCACCGCGCTGCCGCGCCCGAGGACGACCGCGACGAGGACCACCGACGTGGCCGCCGCCGCTTCGTCATCGCCGCAGCATACCACCGCAGGTGGAACACGGATTCATCAAGCCGCCACCGCCGTGCCCGCGTCATCGCCGACATCGCCTTACTCGGGGCATGCATCGCCACAGGCGGACTGGTTGTCTTCTCCTATTGAGCCCGCTGCTCCATCTTCGACGGCGCGTGATGAACGGCAAGCCGATGGTTAGGAATGGGTTGGTGGGGGCCGGTGAGCTGGGGGGCGGCGAGCAGGGGGGCGATGGAGGACAATACGGTTGGGGGGGAGACGTGCAGGTGATCAAGAGAAAATAGGTGGGGGTCGATACCGGTGGAAATGATGTGTGGAGAATGCGTGGTCGGTCGACCCCGCGTGGCACGCATTGTATCGCCGGGTCTGCTCTTTGTCATGTGCGTTTCGTGTTTCGTTTTGTTTTTGTTTGCCTTTCTTTCTAGCAGCGAGATTTCTTCTTTCAATTGTTGCTGTTCTTAAATCTAAAATCATGGGGGGGGTGTCATGTGTGACCATGATTCGAGATGGCATGAACAGCAATCGAGTTGTTTCTGTTTTCATATGAATACCTGCTTAGCAAACGGACTGTTGACGTATTGATAGTAACGGAGTGTTCTTTCATGGACTCTGGAAATATCAGAGGTGTGTTTTGGAATGTGACAGAATGGAGGCTGGTTGCATGTTTGTTTGATTTGCTATCCATTTCTTGAACGCAACGGCGACACCGGTTCGCGTGTACGCGCTGCGTAGTAATTGGTCCTTGGAAACTGTAGTGGAGGAAGGATTTGGCATGTTTTGATTGATGAGTACTTGTTGATTTGCCTTCGTGTGGCAGTTTTCTTGGTAGAAGGCTTAACGTTATCCCCTAAGTATTTGGCGCGCCTTGCCATATATCATCGGTCAGGGGTACCCCCTCTATTTCTATAAAATGCTATGTCTTCGATGCTGTTGTCAATCGTCATTGGGGAATCGGCGTGTCATGGCAATTGATTGCCGCAACATTACGAAGAATGGAATGTTTCGTCTGTTTTCGATGTACGATTTGCGAAGTTCGGGATTTGATTTCGTTCACAACGCAGGTTGCGATTTTTGGTGTTGCTCTCAGTACCCAAATATCACAGGATGCGTTTATCAAGTAGAGGGTTGATCCTTTGACGTCTGGTGTACGGAGAAGGGGGGCGGTAACCAAACATGTATGGGTAGGGTATGCAAGAAGAAAATAAAAGGCATTGTTGGAAGCTGAACGGAGGTTTGTGTTCGAGGAATAATAGTCAACGAGGCAGGGGGGGGGGCTGTCTTCTGGCACTCCATGACTCCAATGTGCCTCGCGCTGTCAACCACGCAGGCAGCGTGTGTAGCAATGTCACATGCTTCAAGGAATTTCGTTTCTGAGGTAGATATGGTGTACTGTGTTGCCGAGGTCTTCGGGTTTGTGTTTTCATCGTGTTGGACGTTGAACTCAAGATTGGCCGATAGAAAATGCTCTGAAGGATTTGTGCATCAATGGTCTTCATGTTATAAGGATGAGGTATGGAATCGAGCATTTTTGTGCATTCATGATTGATTCTTGTTTTCAGCTACTTGTGGATGTGAGGTATCCTCAGAAAGTGATTCGTCCCGGACGGTGTTGTATGTGTATGCGAATGTGTTTGTTTCATTTGTTTCTGATATGACCCATTGCGGTTGTTTCGATGATTTGAGATTTGGATGATTTGATATTGGGAATTTGGAAAATCCACCAGCGACCGATGGAAATTCTTGGTGGT